AGCTGAGATCGCGCTGTTGCACTCCAGCCTGGGCGACAGAGCAAGACCCTGTCTCAGGAAAAAAAAAAGAAAAAGAAGAAGAAATTGATCTTTTTGTGAAAGAGCTATGATAAAAATTAGTCAATGTGTCTTTTACAGAAGAACTTTTGCGTGGTAGCATTGACTAATTACAATAATAATAATAGCTATCTTTATTTTACTGAGTGCTCACCTTGCGTATTATTTTTTGTGCTCAACATGTGTTTGATCATTTAATCCTCACATAAAACCTTTCAGGTAGGCGCCAGGATAACCCTGTGTAATGGATGGAGAAACTGAGTTTGCCTACTACCCATGCCAATTTGAAAATGTTAAAATTATATTCACACATCGTAGTACCACTGGAAAATAATAATGACTGATTATAAGTATTGTCATTTGATGCTTCTAAATTCTGGTTTAGGAAATGTAAGGAACAAACTCAGCTAGTTTTATTTGTGTTTTTGTTGTTGTTGTTTTGTTTTGTTTTGTTTTGTTTTGAGGCAGGGTCTCGCTCTGTCTCCCAGGCTGGAGTGCAGTGGGGCGATCTCAGCTAATTGCAGTTTCTGCCTCCTGGGTCCCTCCCGTGTAACTGGGATTACAGGCATGCGCCACCACGCCCAGCTAATTTTTGTATTTTTAGTAGAGACAGGGTTTCGCCATGTTAGCCATAGCTGGTCTCGAACTCCTGGCCTCAAGTGATTCACCCGCCTCAGTCTCCCAAAGGGCTGGTATTACAGGTGTGAGCCACCGCGCCCAGCCAAACTCAGCTGGTTTTATGCTGCTCATCCTGTCACAGGTGAAGCAATTGGCGTGGATTTCCCTGTGAAAGTTCCCTACAGGAAGATCACATTCAACCCTGGCTGTGTGGTGATTGACGGCATGCCCCCGGGGGTGGTATTCAAGGCCCCCGGCTACCTGGAAATCAGTTCTATGAGGAGGATCTTGGAGGCAGCTGAGTTTATCAAATTCACAGTCATCAGGTAAGTGAGTCAAGAGAATGAATCTGGAAACTCTGACTTGCCCAAGGTGGGCACGTGGCAGCCTAGTGCCCCGTGTCTGCCCCGTGACTTGGGCTGGGGGTTTGTTCCCGCAGTGACTTCATCATCTTCTGCTTCCTTGAGATGTATCCATGTCCTTGTTCCTCGGTGATCACGGGCAGCCCGTCCCAGTTTTAGCTCACACAGCACCTAGCATAGAGTTAACACTCCGCAAAAGTTTGTCCAATCAAACTAAGTGGGGCCGGGCACGGTGGTTCACGCCCGTAATCCCAGCACTTTGGGAGGCTGAGGTGGGCAGGTCGTCTGAGGTCAGGAATTTGAGGCAATACTGGCCAACATGGTGAAACTCCGTAGCTACTAAAAATACAAAACTTAGCCGGGTGTGGTGGCGGGTGCCTCTAATCCCAGCTACTCAGGAGGCTGAGGCATGAGAATCGCTTGACCTGGGAGGTGGAGGTTGCAGTGAGCTGACATGGCGCCAGTGCACTCCAGCCTGAGCAGCAGAGTGAGACTCCATCTCCAAAAATAAATAAATAGGCCGGGCATGGTAGCTCAGGCCTGTAATCTCAGCATTCTGGTAGGCCGAGGCAAGTGGATCATTTGAGGTCAGGAGTTCGAGACCAGCCTGGCCAACATGGTGAAACTCCATCTCTACTAAAAATAAACATTAGCTGGGTGTAGTGGTACGTGCCTATAATCCCAGCTACTTTAGGAGAATCACTTGAACCTGGAATGCGGAGGTTGCAGTGAGCCCAGATGACACCACTGCACTCCAGCCTGGGTGATGGAGTGAGACTCCGTCTCAAAACAAAAACAAAAACAAAAACAAAAAGTTCGGTGCAGTGGCTCACGCCTTTACAGGTAGATATCCTGAGGTCAGGAGTTCAAGACTAGCCTGGCCAACATGGTGAAACTAAAAATACAAAAAATTAGTCGAGTGTGGTGACGGGTGCCTGTAGTCCCAGCTACTCAGGAGGCTGAGGCAGGAGAATGGTTTGAACCCAGGAGGCGGAGCTTGCAGTGAGCTGAGGTCGCACCACTGCACTCCAGCCTGGGCGACAGAGGGAGACCCTGTCTCAAAAAAACAAAAACAAAATAAATAAATAAATAAATAAATATTCTTCTGTTAAAAAAAAATAAGTAAAAATTTAAAAAATAATAAAACTAAGTGGACAAAAGAGGAAACATGAGCTTGTCGCATTTATCAATGTGTCTCTCTCTTCAGGCCGCTTCCAGGGCTTGAGCTCAGTAATGGTGAGTATTCTGCATGGTGAGAAGAACGTTCTGGCAATGTTGGGCCGCGGGAAGTGTCTGGGTGGGCGCTCAGGGTCTTTGCTTCCTTGAGACTGGGACCCAAGTACACGGCCTTTGATGCATGCTTTATTTTTCCTGCATGTGATAAAGTTAGATAACTCTGTTACTTGAGTTTGATTAACCAGGCATTTTTTCTCATACAACAGTCTGAAGAAGCATAATGTATATCACACCATGAGTGTGACGTGTGATGTGGCACACTCCTTTTTTTTTTTTTTTTCTGGAGACGAGTCTCGCTCTGTCACCCAGGCTGGAGTGCAATGGCACAATCTCAGCTCACCGCAGCCTCCCCCTCCCAGGTTCAAGCGATTCTCCTGCCTCAGCCTCCTGAGTAGCTAGGACTATAGGCGCGTGCCACCACGCCTGGCTAATTTTTGTATTTTTAGTAGAGATGTTTTTGCCATGTTGACCAGGCTGGTCTCGAACTTCTGACCTCAAGTGATCTGCCCACCTCCACCTCCCAAAGTGCTGGGATTACAGGCATGAGCCACTGCGCATGGCCGATGTGGCATACTATTCAAGTGTGCTATGTGGCGGGGGCTCCCCTGAGGCCACCCGCACAGCTGCGCTCAGGATCACAGTACCGATCTCCTCTGTGTTAGTTGATAAATAGTGCCTGTTTGGCCCCCAGCCCCGCTGTAGTACCTCCCCACCTCTAGACCTTGGCTTGACCTCCCTACAGTGCTGAAGCAAAAGGGATTCCACCTGGTACAGCAGGGGCCCCCCAGAACCCTTCCAGTGCTGAGATTAGCATCTGTTCTTTTTTTTTTTTTTTTTTTTTGAGACAGAGTCTCGCTCTGTCACCCAGGCTGGAGTGCAGTGGCGTGATCTTGGCTCACTGCAACCTCCGCCTCCCAGGTTCAATCGATTCTCCTGCCTCAGCCTTCCGATTAGCTGGGATGACAGGTGTGTGCCACCACATCCGGCTAATTTTTGTATTTTTTAGTAGAGACAGAGTTTAGCCATGTTGGCCAGGCTGGTCTCAAACTCCGGACCTCAAGTAATCCACCCACCTTGGCCTCCCAAAGTACTGGGATTACAGATGTGAGCCACCACACCTGGCTCAGCATCTGTTCTGATTGAGCAATGCCGAGGCATTCTGCTACTTAAATGTTCTCTCTTTTTTTTCCCCCTTCAACACTTATTTTAAGTTCTAGGGTACATGTGTAGGATGTGCAGGTTTGTTAAACATAGGTAAATGTGTGCCCTGGTGGTTTGCTGCACAGATCAACCTATCACCTAGATATTAAGCCCAGTATCCATTAGCTATTCTTCCTGATGCTCTCCCTCTCCCTACCCACCCCCACCCTGTTAAATATTCTTAATATCTTCCCTGGAGCCCTTGCAAGTGAATCAGTATCCTGTCAAGTAGAATATGGAGAGGTGTTCTCACGAGCGTGAGTCAACCAGGGAACCTCCTAATGTAACATTTGAAAACCAAAGTAGGCTGGGCGTGGTGACTCACGCCTGTAATCCCAGCACTTTGGGAGGCCGAGGTGGATGGATCATGAGGTCAGGAGATGGAGACCCTTCTGTACAACATGATGAAACTCTGTCTCTACTAGATATACAAAAATTAGCCAGGCATGGTGGCACGTGCCACCACTGGGATTACTACTACTAATGAGTAGTAATCCCAGCTACTCAGGAGGCTGAGGCAGGAGAATCACTTGAACCAGGGAGTGGGAGGTTGCAGTGAGCCGAGATCGTGCCACTGCACTCCAGTTTGGCGACAGAGCAAGACTCCATCTCAAAAAAAAAAAAAAAGAGAGAAAGAAAAAAAAGAAAACCAAAGTATTCTATTAAAATGCTCCATTCTTCTTCCCAAATGCATCTGATTGCTAAATGATTTTTTGATCTTTTATAATAGCTTTATTTATTTATGTTATTATTATTATTATTGGGGTTTTTTTAGAGACAAGGTCTCTGTCGCCCAGGCTGGAGTGCAGTGGCGTGAACATAGCTTACTGCAGCCTGGAAGTCCTGCCCTCAGGCAATTCTCCCACCTCTGCCTCCGGAGTAGCTGGGACAGCACCACCATGCCCAGCGAATTTTTTTTTTTTTTTTATTTTGGAGAGATGGGGTCTCGCTATATTTCCCAGGCTGGCCTTGAACTTCTGGCTTCAAGCAATCCTCCTGCCTCAGCCTCCCAAAGTGCTGAAATTATAGGCATGAGCCACTGTACAGGGCCTGAGTTTCTTAAGGTGCACTTTTATGTATGTGTACTCTGGAAATACCTTGATTACCTGAAGGGTGGCCAGGTTCTTTAAATCTAAAACACTAGCCCCTGTACACTTGAACACACTTATATGTATGAGTTTTGTGTGGTTCTGTGGCTGTCACCCTTGTCGTCTGAGACTCACAGTAGGTAAAAATCATATGACTTTTCTGTGCTCATTTCCATCTCTGTTATTTCAAAGTTTTCTTGGGAATCAAATGAGAAAATATGTTAAAATGCTCACGCCTATAATCCCAGGACTTTTGGAGGCCAAGGCAAGAGGATTGCTTGAAGCCAGGAGTTCGAGACCAGCCTGGGCAACACAGCAAGAACCCCATCTCTACAAAAAATTTAAAAATTAGCTGGACGTAGTGGCTCATACCTGTATCCCCAGCTACTTGGCAGGCTGAAGCAGGAGGATCACTTAAACTCAGGAGTTTGAGACAGCAGAGAGCCATAATTGCAACACTACACTCCAGCCTGGGTGACAGAACAAGACCCTGTCTCTAAAAAGACAATGCAAACATATTATCAAATAATTCCTGTTTAAACTGGACGTAACAAGCACAGCTATGTGCTGAACCTCATCAAAGGTGTCTTTTGTTTGGCTCATGTATTTTTAAAAATAAGGATGAGGCCAGGCATGGTGGCTCCTGTAATCTCAGCACTTTGGGAGGCCAAGGCAGCTGGATCGCTTGAGCCCAGGAGTTTCAGACCAGCCTGGGCAACATGGCAAGACTCCAGCTCTACAAAAAAAAAAAAAAAAGAAAAAAGAAAAAATAGCTGGGTGTGGTAGTGCATGCCTGTAGCCCCAGCAACGGGGGAGCTGAGGTGGGAGGATCGCCTGAGCCCAGGGAGTTCCAGGTTGCAGTGAGCCATTATCACACCACTG